TTCTAAAAAAAATAAGCAAACAAGAAAAGAATGATCATGATCAATGTTATAATTATCTAATGTTGATGGAAGAATATAAATTTGATCGACAAATAAAGACAAAATTCTCTATCTATTAAATATACACCGCAGGTATTCTAGATTTATAAGAATTCTTTTTTGTACTATAACTAGACATAATCAGATTGATTTCATTTATATCAAAGATAGACACAATTTGATTCGAGTTAGATTTTAAGAATATGATTATTTACAGTAATGAAACCTTTAATATATATATTGTAAAAATTTGTTAATTGATTTTGTTCAATTGTTATAGTAAGAAATATCTTCATCAGCTTTGATTGAAAATAGAAGAATTGAAAATATATCTTATTTTCTTCTTTGTACTAAATCTCATTTAACAATATCTAATGACTGACAAAGAGAAATTTCTTTCTTTCGTATTTCACTATTACCTTCTTTGATTGTTACCAATGATTCTATAGAGACTTTTCAAATAAATTCAATTCTATCATGTTTTCATCATTGAACAATAAACAAATGACATTCCGATCATGATGTTATTTGTATTTACAACAACAAAATTAATTAAAAATAAACAAATCAAATCGTTGTACATAGTTTTAGTTTTTACTATCGATCAAAACTTTAGATTCGATATATTTCGCACTCTCGATTATTGTCGAGATGTCAACATTTTTTCTTTTATTAAAAAGATGAATATGGACATGAATGGTTGTCGCTTGAAATGAAAAAAAAAAGATATTTATTTTCTTCTTATTCATTTATTTCTTTTTGTCTACCAGGTGAATTCTTTACAAAAACGTGTAATTGCTTTTTGAATATGTATATATCCTGGCATTTCATTAATTGTCTTATCTAAAATAAAAGCACTCAATAGATAACCTTGATGATTGTTATTTCATATTTACCATAGTTGAATTCGAATTTTTGTAACAATTCAAACTCATCATCAATTCGTGTTGCAATTTGATTTATTTCTTCAATAATCTGTTGCATATCATCTTCTAATTCAATGATACGTGGTTTAACTTCTTCGTTATAGTCAGATTTTAATTGTTCCATTTCCATTGGAGTTTGATCAAGTACAAGATTTAAAACTCCCAAATCATTTTTTACATTTCCGGATATATTTTGTTTTAATTCAAATTCTTGTTTTTCAAGTTCAAAATTATGTTGAACTGGTGAGCGGACAACTGATCACAGGAAATTGATCATGGGACAACTGATCACGGACAATTGATCATGACAGACAACTGATCACGGCAGACGACTGATCATGAATAACTGATCATAAAGGGAAATTGATCATGAAGGGTCACGAGATTATTGTTATCGTTTAGGATGGGTGTGTGGGTGTGGGACGTGGGGTGTGGGTGTGTGTGTGTTGGGTGTAGGTGTGGGTGGGTGTGGGTGTGGGTGTGGGTGTGGGTGTGTTGGGTGTAGGTGTGGGTGGGTGTGGGTGTGGGTGGCTGCGAGTGTGTGTGTGTTGGGTGTAGGTGTGGGTGGGTGTGGGTGTGGGTGGCTGTGAGTGTGGGTGTGTTGGGTGTAGGTGTGGGTGGGTGTGGATGTGGGTGGCTGTGAGTGTGGGTGTGGGTGTGAATTTATTTCTTATTCTTAAAACCCACACCCACACTCACACCCCACCTACACCTACACCCACACCCCACACTCGCACCCACTACACACCCACACTCACACCAACACCCTCTCTCTGTTCGTTTTTGTTTGGAAATAAATGACAATTATCAATTATCGAACGAATTTTTATGATCAGCTGTCCAAGATCAGTTGTCCCTTATGATCAGTTGTCGTCATGATCAGATGATCATGATCAGATGATCATGATCAGATGATCATGATCAGTTGTCCTAGACCCTGTTGAACTAAAAGCTGTTCGTTACGAAGTGAAACAAGTTCATTATAAATTGTAAATCTTTGTTCGTATAGTTGATGATATTTTGTTAGATTTGGTTTTAGATTATCAACGGAATTTTTGACCTATATAAAAATGTAAAAGTGAATTAAATCTTTTCTCAGGTTTTATTTACTTCTTCATGATGTAAAATCATTTCTTTGGCCAATTTTAACATAATGTCAAAAGACATCCTTTGAGCCAATAAATACACAAATGAAGAAAAATCTAAAACATTTGTATGCAAAATTATTTCAACAATCAAATAAGAATTGTCGGTCTTGCATTCTAATGAACAAGAACTCAAATATTAATACATTGAATTCTTTTTATATATGATAGACAGGTATATAATGAATCAGAAGAGCAAAGAATAACAGAAAAAGAATAAAGAAATGAACAGAAACAAGCATCTAGGTATCGATAGACACGACCACATGTATGTGCATGTAGTAACTTAGTGGAATGTATCGCAAAACAAAGAATATGACTAATGAATGGAAAGAAATACAAAAAGAGAGAAAGTTTTAACATACACTAATATAGTCGATTAGGTAGACAAATGTCGAAAACAAAATATCGACAAGTAAAAATGTCGACAACAAAACGTCGACAAAAAAATGTCGATAGATAAAATGTCGACAGATAAAATGCCGACGTACAAAAAAATGTCGAAAATTCTATCATGATATAGGAAAATCGCGTAGCATATGCTGTCATCTATTTTTTTTTCTGTTTGTGCATTTTCTTTATGCGTGTTGGCCTGGACATAACTAAATACGAATTTTTTCGCACTTATAGTGAAATGTCCTTAGAAAAATGTCCTTAACGAAATATTCTTTTCTTCTCGTTCTTTAGTAATCTCTTTGTACAGTATAGACGAGAACATTCTAGATGATTTTCCTTGTTTCTTTTTCGTTCGAGGTAATTCTCGCCCTTCTCTTATATATAAACAGTCGTCATTTGTGCACTTAACATCATGGTAGTGTATTCAACACATTCTATCTTTTTCATTTCGTTCTAGTAGCATATTTTTCTTGATATGTCAACTGTTCCTAGTCTTAGCTTTTCGACCAGCAACAAACGTAAACCGATCTTAATATGTGATGGATTGGGTGTGGATGTGGGGGTGGGGTGTGGGTGTGAGTGTGTTCATTCTGTTTAATCACTCCTACACCCACACCCCACACCCACACCCCACACCCACACTCACACCCCACACCCACACCCATACCCACACCCACCCACACCCCACCCCACCCACACACCCACATTTTCAAATGCAACAATGGGATCGAACAAAAGAATCGTACTGATCGGTGATAGTTTTGCTCAAGATTTTTATAACATGATCCTTGAGGGCAAACATCTTATGAATTATGAGATATGTGTTTTTTATGTTTCTGCACGATGTCAAAT